ACACACACACACACACACACACACACACACACACACACACACACACACACACACACACACACACACACACACACACACACACACACTCTATAGAGGCGCTAAACGAGCTTAAACTGTGTTTAAACACGTCACTCTCAATTGCATATAAAGTAAATAAATCCAATTTAGGTTACACCCTTTTGCTAGTCATGACCCTGCATTATGGAGCCAACTACAGTATAAATACATGTCATTTTGAGCAATAACCCTTTTCTTCTCCTTTCTCAAACACTGAAATGTACTTGTGTGAACCACTTACTGTTTAACTTATAACAAAACCCCATCTAACATCTAATTTGTTTAAGAGAGTGGGCACTGACTGACACACCATCCGATATTGACCCAAGAATTAGTGAATAATTATACCGCTGCACTGTTGCTAGCATTGAGGAGAAAGTTCGCTGTATGGGCATCCATCGGGGGCTGGTTAGGGATTGGTCGGTGGCCCAGTGCCATCCCAACAATGGCAGTCATATGGGTTTCAGTTCCAAACACATGAATGGGGATCCCTGTGGTCTTCCCTGTATAGAAGAAAACGCTCCTTAATCTAGATCCAAGGACTCGACTTGGATGTATACTTTAAGTCATATATTTCACGAGTTAGGCCCGAGTATTAGTCCAGTCTTACTCACCTACTTCCCCCATCACCCTGAGTCCCTCTTGGTAGTTCGGACCGCCACGTCGAACAAAAATGGTGACCTCGTGTTCCTTCAGAGGGCCTTGGTAATCTTTAATGGCCCTGACAATGCCCTGAGGAAGGACAAGCAGATCAGCTTTGTTATGCACAAAAAGTACAAGTATATCAACCAGGAAGAGTGAAATTTTATTGAGACCATTTAATAATTCAAAGCATTAGTATGGCTTTCTACTCTGACCTGCCTTCAGATTTTAAAGTAATCTGAGAAAACATGTTAAGGCAGGTTAGGCTAACACTGCCTTAACATGTTTCTGGACATAAATTAGGAACCAATCTAGTTGGTGTATTGCATGTATGAGCAGCTATGGGTATAAATGTTTTGATATTACACCTAACACAAATCTCTGCTAATTCAGGACTTGCTGAAAATACAGTGACATCATTCTTTCAAAGTTTAAGAAATTAAATATTGTGTATAAGCCAGTTTTTCCTCTTTAAACATTACAGTGATTCTTTATAACTGTGCAGAAGATTTTCAGATAAATATCAGTGCGTTTCACCTTGAATGTGGCTGCTACGTTGGTGAAGTTTGCAATGCTTCCTCCAATGATCAGCACTTTCCCTGTAGGATAAGGAAAGGTGTTACGAAATGCTCATGACTGAAATTCAACACCCGAGTAACATACATGAAGTCTATTGCTGGCAACTCCCCACATAGTGAACAGTGTGTCACACTGAAGCAGCACAATTAGCTCACACAGCAGAGGAAGGATCCACCAAGTATTTCTACACTTCAAGGACACAGCAAACAAACGCAGACTTTATCTAACAGTTGTAGCCTCCTCCCACCAGCTTTTCACCCCGTTCAGGAAAATAAGCTCTAATGTAATCAAGTCCAGGCTTCACCCACCTAGAGGATGTTTTTCACGTGTCATGAGAGACAAGATGGTTTTTGCGTAGTCGTAGGTCTGCTGTTCACTGGGTGCGCCTGAGTACTCGCCATAATTAGCCAGCTCGTCCACCCCACCCAGATCGCAGATGGTGTCGCTGAAGAAGAGAAATGATGCGATTCTATCAGCTGTAATTAACCTTAAAAAATATTAAGCTGGCAACAGAAAAGTCAAGCTGGGGTTTGTTAAAAAGCAAAACTTCAGTCTAACAAGCTTTGAAACTTCAAGCCATAAAGGCAAAGAAGTGGTATAGAGTTCAAATGTATGCTGTATGTGATGGACTACCTGTAGACAACAGAAGCACCTCCTCCGGCCACCATGGTCCAGATCCTGCCTCGGGGATTCAGCAGGGTCAGCTTCAGACTTGCACCACTCTTTGCATCCAGATCAGCTATGTAGGCCTCCTACAAGTAACAAGACAGAGTGGTGAATACCAAACTGTGGTCAGTAAGTGCACAAGGATGGAGAAATGGACTGACCAATCATTGTACATATGAGTAGATCTAAGTTAAAGTCACATTTTAAATCAAATCAGTGAAAATTAAAGGATCCAGAGAACTATAAACAAACAGCCTGTCCAATTACAGCTCTTCAAATCTCACCTCAGGGTACGCCTCTCTGCCAAAGGGTGGAGGAAACTCAAGGTCCCCCCATTTAGCCTTGCAGATATAATCCGCTGTGCCATCAATCTTGGCTGCCATGTCAAGGACATATACTCCGTCTTGATTGACGACTGTGAAAAGGCAGAAATTTTGAGTTAATTTGTATGTTTTCCACCAATGAATTACTAACATAGCATGGTAGCAATCTAGATTTTTTTTTTTTTTTTTAAATCAGCGTTTTTGTTTCTGCAATACATAATGAGCAGAGTGTAATATTGCAGAATAAAAGAGCTTTACCAAGAGGGTTGATTTCAAGGTAGGTAAAGTAGAGGTCCTCATACAAGTTGAAGAGGCCGACTATAAAACTGGCCAAAACACTGTGAGGGAAACAAAATTAGACTTAATCAGCACATAAGAGAACTTTTGTGAAGCTTTGTGTCTCACTAGGCAAGAACAAAATGGTAGAGTATTGCTAAGCAGCCACGCTGAATACTTAGAGCGTATCTTTTATGTTTCTTTCTAGTTTGTATTGTTTAAAAGAGATAAGAGTATTTACTTAGCACACTGCTAAGTTTACATAAAAGAAGCTAAACATTAATCAAGGTCAAAACAGCAAAGGATAAAAGATTTTCTGAATACAGAGAGCCTCTTTGGTTAAGAAAGAAAATAAAAAGCAACAAGAAGGTGCGAAAACGAAATATACTGCGATTTTACAGTTATTCCTGTATTATTTTCTATATTTCATTCAATATCTGGCTAATCACATCTCTGCTCAAATGTCTCTACTGTGTTTTAACAGAGAGCCTGATCACTAACTACTACTACTGTGAACTACTAAGCGATCCAATTAGGTTCAAAGCACAAAATGACTCAGATTCAAATGTCACCATTTGTTTTATACTTAAAAATAATATTTAAATAATGAAATTTATATGTCTTTAAATAATAAAGACAATTTTAGAAAAAGGTTTCCGTACTCCTTCTTGTCGTCGGGAACTTGTGTAAGCAGCCGCTCTTTGATTAGGTCCTCAGTGAGCTTGCCATCCACTGGAACCATCAGCTTCTGGGCCTTGGCATCCACGTCACCCACCTCCACTCCTCCCTCGTGGTGGAAAAGCACGTGGTCGCCCTCACGTGTGGCATAGATGCATACATAAAACTCTTCCTCCTGAGTGAGTAAACAGGGAGTTCAGCCACATGCAAGGACACGCAAATACGTCTTTACTGATTTTGTTTGGAAATGCTGCGCAATATTTACATAAGGCCAACAAGTGGTTCAGTTCTCTGTGAGAAATTATTAAGAAAAACCAACAAACTAATCAAATGCACACTAACTTACAGACAGAACACACATAACTTGGAGCTTGTTCTCACTTATAAGGTCCTAGATCGACTGGGTCAACCAGGAAGCACTGATCCTGGTCAAGTCATTCTACTCCTTTTCATTTTTCTGAGAGGATTTGATGAGAATGGCTGAGGCAACGGAGATCCCAGTCTGAGGAACTGATTCTTGTAGTTTGGTTTATTATTTATTACCACAACAACAACAACTTGACTTTCCACTGCAATTAAGGTTTATCAGACTTGGTTTTATCAATTATTACTATATATTTAAAGAAGCACAGCACACCAAGGGAAAAAATAAATAAATCAAGAAATACTCTCTAAAGTAGGTATGAAGGGTTTTCCTACAGACCAATTTTTTTAAAACGCCACAAGGTAATTTAATTAATCATCTGGGGGGAGGATAATCCGGGTCAGACATGACCCCAGCTGATGACCTGCCAACATCGTCAGCAGATTTGTATAAGAATTTGATTCCCATTTTCCTCTTTCAGTCTGACAGGATGCAGCAGTGTGCTTCATTTAAAATAAAGGAAGCTATTTTTTACAAATTCTTCTCACATCAGAAGTCCTGTGATGCAATACTTTCATTCTGCTCAGAATTCTTTGAGGGCAGCTGCAGGAAATATCACATTGGCTCTTAATACAAGGTGCAAAGTACACGTGTGAATTATACCCTATGATAGAAGTTTAAGGCTACCTCTACCAAAGCGTAAAGGGACACTAAAAGTTACCATTACGCAATACTTTAAACTAAAAATAACCGTAACTTTTGAGCTTAACTATATATTTCTGTGACAACCTGGTTTGAACAGGGAAATTCAGAATGATACCAAATCTTAATTAAAATAAAACATTTATGTAAATACAGGATCTGTCCTGCTGACAAGACACAAGACATGACAAGAAGGGATTAGCTGTGAAGTTGAGACCACAGAAACCGTAGACCATTCAGCAAATTCAAGTTACAACAGGAGAAATAACCACTGATGACACAAATTGAACTGTTCCACAAAACTTCTCCAAACTGAGGAGCTTAAAGAGTGTTAGACTGAAAGACAAGATACTGGCATACATTACCTGTGTGTGTGGGACAAATGGCTCAATGAGGAAGTTCTTCAGCACACCCTTTGCCTTTCCCACCTATTCAAGAAAAACACCTGGTCACAAACACTACACTGAGAGGAAAACTACATGTATTATATATTAAAGTGAAAGTAAAACTTTAAGAATAACATAAAAAAATGTAAATTGACCTGTCATTTACTAAGTCTTCTCATCGTTACAAACTACCTTCAAAGTTCTAGTTCATCCATTTCACATCCAAATAGCTTATTACGAGTAGAGTACACAGAAGGGCAAATAATATCAAATAAAAACAGGCAGCAGCAGGGCAACTGAGGCAAAGTCCTCCACGTGCTTCTCATATCAAAATGAGGATCCTTTGTGGTGTTTCAGAGACCAAATATAGTATTAATACTACAGTTTCTGTGAGGATTACTTTTTTAAATGTTGATTTATTTAAAGACTTGCCAGCTCTGGCTGTTCAAGACAGATAAATAACCAGTTAATCTAGGTTCAGAGTAACTTTGTGTGTCTAAATACACTTGCTGCATTGTCCTCACACAGTAGAGCAGAAAAAAAAAAAAAAAAAAAAAAAAAAAAAAAAGAAAGACGCTTGATCATCTCACAAAAACGTTGAACTAACTTTTGCTCAACAACAGCCCTGTATTAGCCAAGCAAAGTCATCCTCACATATGGTTCTGGTTGATGACTGTTTAAACATGAACAGCACGTCAGTCATGTTCTACTTGGCAACAGTCACTGCATTCGAATCAAATACCTCCTCAGAAAATGATGCAATGTGTTTCTCGTGGTTCTAACTACTGCAGCACGTGGATTTGCTTTATTGCCACAAAGACAGTCATGGCTGCGTTTTATGCTCATTAAGAGAGAGTACAGTTAACTCACAGTTGTCTCCTTCATTAGGTGGTCTTTGAGCCACTCCCGGACGCCCTGCAGGTCCTTGTTGATCCCCACTAGGCCGAGCTTCCCGCGCCGCTTTATCAGTTGATCTGGCTTCACCACCAGCCTCTTTTGGGATGAGCAAAGAAACAGGACACACGTGGTTTTTTTTGGTATGATAGTGTGGTATGACTATGGTAGAAACAATAAAGATGGGTAGGGTTTCCCAGCCCTGCTGTGAGAGAGCCAATCAACTGCCGAAACAGGAAACACATGAGCCAGACATGTTGTTGCACTGACACATGGGCACAGCAAAGGTTCAGACACATTTCAGATGTGTCCAGTCAGTCACCACTGATACTATAAAAGATTGATGTGACATAACCCACTGGTTGGAGTGGAAGTCCTGTTTTGAAACACTGAGGACGAGGGTTAGGACTTTAAATCTTTTGTAATCTGTGATAGCAAAATGTCTAAAACCTGCATTGTTTTTAATGTGTCCCTGGTGACCATTAAAGGCAGTGCAAAATGGCTTCACCTTTCAGACCTGAAAGCTGTGTGCATCTTTTATACAGTCTATGCAAATCACTCTGATTGTTATAGTACAGCACATGTAGGTAAATTAACTTTTGAAGGTTGTAATCAGGCTTCATGAGCTGGACAAACAAACAGTCTTACCTCTGTCAGCAGCCATGAATGGTCCTGTGTGAGGCGGGCCCAGTCAGTCTCAGCTGTTACACTAGCATAATGGAAACGGTTCTGCACGGCCGCCGAGGTGCAGATGTTCTTATACAACAGCTCTTTCCCTGTCTGCTCTGAGATGGCCTTCGCCGACATGGCAGCGCTGGATAGAGCAGGACCTTTGGGGAAGGACGAAAACTGATAACTGGGAATAGAGTCCAAACTTAAGTTAAAAATTAAAACAATGCACAGGTGCATTTTGATGGATACCAAAAGTACATTGTTTAGGTAAAACTCGCAAAAGGACATTTAGCCAAATATTGGTAGGGGTGTATGTCAATAAAGAAACAATTCCACTGTGGAGAAGGAGCAGTTCAAATAAACCATTAAAAGCCCATGACACCATGACCTTCATGCCCATGATAAGTGTCAAATTCTGTATGCACACATCTAAAAAGACTTATTTTTCAGATTAAGTGCAGTTAAACACAAAAAGTAGAGAACCAAGTTATTAGAAAATCAAAAATGTATATAAACCAAATACTAAACAAGCTCTCAGTCAAACTCGTTTCTCAATCTTACAGTAAACACGTGACGGATTATCACAACAGCCTGCACTGATGACCTTGTCATTCCTGTTTTAACATCCCAGGAAGTTGTTGGGCGTGCTCAACCAACTTTGCCTCACCACAAATATACACAACCATGAATATTTAGGTGAAATGCATTAAAAATGCATTAAAAAGCCTAAAAATTGTACATTTACCAAGTCACCCACCAACCAAGCAAAGTTGTAATGAGCAGTAATGAGCCTTGATTACGTGGATCTTATCGCCTCTACCTCCGGGTCACTGATAACATTTTATGGTGGTTTATATTTGAGCTTCTGGTAACCTAAGGAGGGGCAGCGCTTAGAGAGATCAAGAAATCTAACAGCTTCATCACAGCAGGCTATCCTTCCACTTTTAGAGACGGATGTCCAGAATTTAGCCAGATTAATCCACCGGTCCAGTGTATTATATGAAGCTACCTTGCCGTGCAATTAGTTGTGCTGTCCAGGCTTGTGGGATGAAGAAGCTGGACCTGATGGCAGCTGTTAGAGTGGCAACCAAGGGGGGTTGGGTGCTGCTTCAGACACAGCTGCTGTCAGACGAACTCAGGGGTTAGCATCACTTATCCTATGAATGAAGCTCCTGCAGCAGCCACCACACCCACTCCTGAACCAGCCAGCCAGGCAAGCCTGACAACAACTTTAGCTAGCTCACTTTGGGTAAATAGAGAAAGAACTTCCGGGAGAGAAGAAATAAATGCAGTACGAAAACCTTCACGATAAGGAATAAAACAGGAGGATGCTCCCTCTCTGCGGATGATGCAAGGATAAGCTAGCTTGCTTTTATCATTGAAAAAGTAAAGCACATCACTTCAGATATGCTGTTTTCAAGCAAAACAATTGGGCAAAACAATTTCAATAAAGACCATACTTGTTCTTGCTCTGCCGAGCTAGCACTTGGCTGCAGTTTTGGCAGACAGCCCTCACATCATCTCACATCCGCTACCCTGAAGACTAACACTACGGCTAACTGCTGTAGCCTCGCATTGGTGCGGACACTTGCCAGTTAAAGGCTACAAAGAAGAGCTGGCTAACGCTGGAGTAGAAAGTAGCTGAGTGAAAGCTTTTACCTTGTCAGTGACAATCACACCTTCTTGAAGGATCGTGTCCAGGCCAAAAAAATGACACAGCTAAACAGCCAGCTCTTATTATACCGGAGTCAACTGCTGCCAGTCCCTGCCACCTCACTCCGCTCCTGTCGAACCATAATCTGGCGACCGATTACACGTCTCTACGAGTGCCTGATTGGCTTAAAACAGGTCACGTGGTGACGTCAGTCACGACCACGGCATTGTTAAAAAACAAAAAAATTAAAAAAATATTGGCCAACCTAGAAAATGTTATTGACGCCCCCTCCCCGCTTCTCTTTAAACACAACTCTTATTTTAGGTCCTGCACTACAAATAGTTATAGTAAAAAAATCTGAATTTGCCAATATTTATAAATATTGATTTTTAAAATTACTTTCTTTGGAGTTACCAGGGAAGTCTGAAATCAATAACAAAGGTGAAAAGCACGTTGGTTAAAATTGACAAAGAAAAACCCAAAAGGGGGTTTTATTCGAGTCATTCTATAGCTGGTTATTTGATTTAAAATGTGCCGAGGAGCTTTCAACAAGCTTGAATGTCTCCAATTTTTATAGATCATTATAAAAAGAAGTCCCTGTGAAACTTGTAAAAGAAAGAGGAACTTTCTTAACACCGCTCCTTTTTTCAGAGCTTCACTTCAGCACTCAGTGAAACCAGAGTTGTAAACAAAGTCATTTTCGCAGTGAATCATTATTCATATGCAGTGTGATATGAATCTGTAAGTGATCAAAGTGATTACATATACCTGCTGGACAAGATGATATCCTGTCTTTTAAAAGTAATCATCAGGAACAAAGTCAAAGACAAAACTCATTACAGTAAAAGACAAGCCTTTATTTTATCAGTTAAAAAAAAAGTAGTCCAAAAAAAGGAAGAAAAAAAAAAAAAAAAAAAGGTCTTGTTAATACCGTAGCAAGTTTTTAAACGTAATGTACACATCAGTGACAGAACAGTTAACAGTGGAAGCTATCAGTGCCCCTTTAAACAGGTGGAACAAGTAGGGGAAGGGTTGTACTGATGAATGGATGAATGACAGCAAAGTGTGACTGATGACACGGGTCCAAGATGAAAAGATTTTCCTCCAGATTATCATAAAACCAAAAAATTGCTATACAAGTGTAACATCTGCCTTTTTTTTTTAACTAGTATGTGGATTTATTTAGGACGCTTCACTGATTCTAGTAAGGCACCACTTGAATTTGAATGGGGCAGTGCAACATGTGGATGACGTTTGTGAAGTTGCTTTGAAAAGAACAAAACAAAAACAAAGTGTGGATGTATTCCTATGTGGGTCCGTTTCAGACAGGTGAAAAATGAGTGAAAAGGATGGGGTCAAAAACATTTACAAACAAAGGAAGACGAACATCACTGGGATTTTGCTGCATACACTTTAGGATATACAGTACAATAAATATAAATAGACTCAGGGAAGACTGAAGGACAATGTGTGGACACATAATGTTTTACATTCGAGTCAAATATACAATGAAGAATGGAGAGGAAATAAAAACCCTGCAACTGGATTCTGTATTTGGCAAGAGAGCCAGTAAAATCTGGACGCACACTCATAAGAGAACGGCGTTGTCATTAACAGGCTGTCCTGAGGTCAGATTTGTCACTGAACTTCCACAGAACATCAGCTCTTCCACTAGAGATGTGCAGTCCAAGGAGAACTTTAAACACGTATGCATCGTTACAGCTTCTCAAAATAATCAAGACATGATGGCCAGTATGTCCTCACTGTTCATCCCCTTCATAGAGACTGAGGCAGTTTAACAACATGAAATTTCATAGAACATAAATGTCAATTTTGGCAATAGAGACAAGCTCTGCCCAGCTGATGCAAACTGCATCTAAAAGACTTTTTAAAGACTTCATCAATGTTTGAATCCTTCTCAAAGGCTGAGCATCAATGCAAGGGAGTTAATTTAGGAATGTATGCGGTATTTCAAAAGAAGATTTTTTTTAAGTGAGATTTTAACAGGACACTCATAAATATGAGCATCATGAGGTGACTGTGGGTCCGACTTGACTTTGTCCAGTGTATGCTCCACTGCTTTAGCCAAACTGGAAAAAGAAATTTCCAGGTCCAGAGTCTGTAATAAATCACAAAACAAATATTCAGTTAGTGTTCAATAAACCTATGTATATATAAAAACCATGGAGTGAAGAGAAAACGTACCTGGGCTGGAATCGAAAGTGAATCCTCCACTGTGGCCACCAAAGAAAGCCCTGAAGATGTTGTTTGCATCAAAATCTGTAGAAACAGGAAGTAGAGCAAGGTTAACATGGAGGATAAAAGGAAGCCAAAGATGGGAAAAGAATGGAAATACAGGAAGGAAAACAATTTATGTGATATATTGCACATATAATTTAAAGAGAAACAGGAACTACAAGTGTTTTTTTTGGGTTTTTTTTTAATTATTATTTATTTTTTTATTTTTTTTAGTACAGGTCCAATCTGTAACAGATAACTGGACTTAAATGTACAGCCTCATACTGGCAAACCAGTATTAGAACAGTACAGATATTTGTCGATTTAAAAATCAGATATCAGCCAATATTTTTCCTTTTCAGACACACAATGCAAAAGAATTCCCAAACATTTACTTGTTTAGTTCTACTTTGATCAGCTGGTTGTTGCTCTTTTGAAGTTGCAAAGCGCCCTCTGGTGGACAAACTGCAACATCAACACTCCTAACCTTGTCAAAGGGTTTCTTCCATCTCAGCTGTTATATATGTGATACCAGCTGATCAGCAATTAGCCAGTATCAGCCAGTAATTTCAGCCTGCTGATAAATCGTGTACGTCACAGTATGAATTGGACTTCTGCTTTTTTCACAAGGTATGTTGCTCTTTGTTGTATTCTGTGAGAAATATTCAAAACAATTAATATCTTCTGAAACTTTACAGCCAGCTTTCTGGACAAAACGTAATGCAACATTGTTGCCTCCGATGTTAGTTTTGTTTTATGTCCATATATTGAAAACAACTTTTGAATCAAATTAGTAGCTTTAAAAATGTATCCTTTCTAAAGGAAGATTTTTCACATTGTTTTCACTGGACTTTGTCTCCACAGCAGTATATAGACAACAACATGCATCGCAAATTTTATTTCCTGCAGGCAGACCGGTGACTTCAGAAGATTTTACCTCTAAACCCTTTACAATTAAAACCACAGGGTGACACTGAAAAGACCAAAACATGCTGCCACTAATCACATACAGTGATGCTCTAAGATGAGACTTAGAAACAGTGGAACCTATTAGAGGTGGAAGATATATATAATAACCGTGTTTGTAAAAGCTGATTCATAGTTTCTATGTGGATTAGCACGTACATGTTGTAATTGTCTGCATTTTGGCTATAAATGCATCTTATTTCCTTTTCTGGAGGAGAAAAGGTTGAAAATTTTTGCGTGAGTTGGACCAATCAGCTTTACTACTTTACTGCTGCTTTGCGGCTGATTTCAGCGACTCAATCACTGCTGACAGCTGCAGCTTCTTATAAACTGGCGATGGAGAGTATGTCATTCACTTCCAATAACAACGGCCAACAAAGCCAAGGGACGCCTCCGCCAGCACTCCACCGTCTCCGCACATCTTCTCACATATTTTACACCATTTCTTTTAATTATTTTGTTTATTTTAGTTGAGAGTTTTTATTTTTTTTTTCTTGTTGAGCCATATCACTCAGTCCCATTACCTAAAGGCGACTGACACTTGATTTTGTAGGGACCGTCATGGGATGCCACATTATAAAAGGCCTTCTTACACAAGCAGACATTTCAACTGACATTGCAGAAAATGGTTAATAATGTATGAAAATTTGTCCGTGTTCTGTTAAAGCGTCCCATTAGGTCTTGACAGTTTGACAGCAAGTCAGGGACACGGGGACTTGCTGCATGGAAACATGGAATGAGTTTCTAGAAACTAAATTATGGAAATTAAATTGTACTTTGTACTTTTTTTTGTGTTGACATGTCTCATGTCTTAATTTAAATGAGATCCCAAAAAATCTTGGAACTTTCTCATGTAAAACTGGGCAATAATCATATATGAAGTCTACAGAAAACCCAAAACCCTTAAAAAGGTTTTTGCCCTTTTTCAAATGTAAACACGACCATTGTTCAGACAATCATGATCTCCTGGGTTTCCTACTAGGTCTAAAAGATCTATTGGTCTTATTAATTACCCAAGTACAAACAAATGCCCTATAATAAATGACAAAGCCACTGCTATTTCCCACTATGACAGGTCAAAATATCTTCTGGGTTACTCTTTTCTTTAGATGCACCCGTTTCCCAACTCAAAAGCCGATAGGAGCACAGAGGGAATATAAATGTACCTCCGCCATCAAAACAGCCGTCATCCTCCAGGTCGTGCCCGTTGTCATAGCGGACCTTCTTCTTCGGGTCGGAGAGGACAGTGAAGGCTTCACCCACTTCTTTGAATTTCTTTTCCTCCTCCTTTTGCACCTCTGGTGTTGCTGAACTGTGACGGTCTGCAAGACAATTTCAACGGTTGTCTACAATAAATCCTCGAGATAAGTGAGACTCAACTGTTAAGTGATGTTGTAGCTCAGCTGGCTCATGATCCTAACACAATTCACTGGTTATTGTAATGTGTAAAGTACAGAGAAAAAGTGATGCGTTGTCTTGTCATTGGTTGGCCTTGACCTACTGTGTGCACACTGCACTTAAATCTGACCTATACTCTAGGCAGAGCCCTGATTACTGTGAGCTGTACTAGTGTGAACTGTGTGGAAAGACTAGGACAGCTACCTGGGTGATGCATGAGGGCTCGTTTGCGATACGCTTTCTTGATCTCGTCCTCAGTGGCATTCTTCCCGACCCCGAGCACCTTGTAATAATCTTTCCTTTTGCTCTTCTTCAGCTCCATCTGTGCCTTCTTCAGCATTTGCTTGTGATCTGGAGGGAAAGAGAAATGCAAGCCATGTGAGAAAAACTGAACATTAAATTCAATCAGAGCTTAGGAAAACAAGGAGAGCAGCTCACCTGAGGTTTTCTCTGTCTGATAAACTTTTTCATAGTCCCGTACGGCCTCTTCATATTGCTCTGTGTCCATGTAGCTACAGGTAACACAAGGTCAGACACAAACTTTACAATGCTGAACAACAAAACACACAAAGCATGGAAAACTGACTCAGAATGCCTGTAACATACCACTGAGCTCTTCTTAAGTATGCCTTGATGTAAGTGTCATCTAGTTTGATTGCACTGGTACAGTCTTCAATGGCTTGATCAACTTTCTTCAGCTGTTGACGAAGAGATAATGACAGTGAGCTGACAGGATACAAAGAACCAGAAGACCCAGAATACTACGATTACTAATATTAAGCAAATTATAGCTAACAACAAGAGGAAACTGTGGTATAACGAAACAAGCTTTTACCTTTGCTCCTGCTGTGGCTCTGTTGCAGTAGAGTTTAGCGTTGGTCTTAATGTTGTTGGGGTCTATTGCAAGTGCCTCGGTGTAAAGCTGATAGGCAGCTTCATAGTTGTTGTTCTTAAACGCCTGGTTTCCTTCCTCCTTCTTAGCTTTTAATGCTTTGGCATTCTGGTGAGCAAAGAAGGCACCGATACTTTTCAGGCCTTTTGTTTTAACATTCTTAAAAATCCTTTAATCTATTTGTATTTTCAATGTTTTTTTCAAAACATATTGTGTGCAAACTTGAAGTCTAAAAACATCTCAGGTCATTTTTCATCCTTTGAAAGCTGATTTTTGGATTATATTTTAAATTTAGCGCCAACTACTTTACTGTGTACCCTTGTTCTTCTGCCGTGTAAACACACGGCCAAGGTTGCTTATCTTGTCACAAATGACTGCAAAATAATCACCTGAAGTGTCTATAGTGTCAACTACATTTGTGCTTGTACACACATAGAAAGAAATACGGGGACCCATTTAGAAGGACCTTGAAAAAGGTTATATGGTGTTTTACCTTAAAGCAAAGCTCCTTGAATTTAATCAATCATCTTCTTTTGATCATCTGCCTCCATCTCACCCTATGACTAGCATCCTACTCTGTCACATCAACCATCTGGTTGTCCCCCTTCACTACAATCACAAGCTTCCACTGAGGTCTTCCCTTTTTCCTCCTGCCTGGCAACATCCTTTATCCGGTATACCTCCTCTGCACAAGTCCAGACCATCTCAGCTTGCCTCTCTAACTTTGTCTTGCATTCTTAGTTTGCAACTGTGGAACTTCAATACAAAAAGAACTTGCAAACATTGTTGATAATGCCACCTACAACTCAATCTTACCCTGCAGGCCAGTCGGGCTTTTTCATGGTCAGGTGCCATTTTCAGAGCCTGGACAAAGAACTGCACCGCTTTATCGATGCAGTCCTCATAATAAAGACACAGGCCTCGAACGTACAGCGCGTCTGCATTTGTAGAATCCATTCGCAGGATGTCACTGTAAAGAAAAGGCTGGCTTTAAAGAATGGCACAAAGAAGTGGAATAAAAAATAATGACTGTCCATCACAGCTGCTCTCACCTTGCTACAGACTGAGCTTCTGGATAGCGTCCAAGCAGAGCGAGACATTCTGCTTTGAGGATTTTGAAGCGGTGGCAGGCAGAAGCCAAAGCTAAGGCCCGGTCCATGCAGTACACCACCTGAATCAGGGCCACAACCAAATACTACACAGTTATACCCCCATATTACATTCAGAAACTGGAAAAACTGAAATATTTGGAGCTTTGTGAAAACTAACAATCCATGCATCCACTGGATAGGTCACCATCCATCACAGCGCGCAGTGGCTGTTGTCTTTGTAATAAGGCTGCCCGATTATGGCAAATAAAAAAGAAAACAAAAAACCCCCCAGCAGTTTCTTTTGTTCAATATTTGATTTAATTACCTGAAGACACAAGTTATTTAACTTTAAGACTGAGGGATTTTCTTTAACTTTAAAATTTATATGAAAAAAAATCTAATAAATGAATAAAAACAAAGCGATGTGGAGGTGGTGGAGGACGCAGGTTCATCCGGTCGGAGTTGGGCTCTGACTCTGAGATTTGGCACTATAGCACATCTCGCAAGTGCAACTGCCAGTCCCTGCTGGCTTGCCACCACCGCGGGATTTCTGCAGTGGAGATGGGAACGTAGAGAGGGGCCCGGCCGCAGCAGACTTGCGTGCCTCAGCGACCAGCAAGGTAGCTAGCCGGAGCCGCCAGCCAATTGTCGCATTCCACCGATATCGGTCTGCATGTGACACTGAGTAATCTAGAGACAGAGGCAACTGTTAATACTTCCACAGGTTCACCTCAGAAACTGTGACAGTTGTGTTTCTTCTACAGAGATTTTGTTGCCTGAAGGCTCTCTGTTAGAATCATATTGTACTCAACAGCGAGTGAGTTTGAGTGTTTAGGGAGAGCTGAAAAGGAAAGGATTTACACAAACTCGCACGTGCGCACACACGCACACACACACACACAGGCTTTGTGATGAGAGCCCATTTTCTTGTTTTCATAATCATTTAATATCAAAATTGTACTTTTCATATAAATATGAGTAATAGCAAAGTCCAACATGTAAACGCTAAAATTTTATCTAATCACACAGACATATGACAAAATCCTTTTCCAGCATATTTATGTTTTGGTGACAACCACACACTCATACAGTGGCAAACAAAACCCAATTTATAATTTACAAGAATGCTAAAAAACAAGAGAACGTGCATAAATTACCTTTCTGAAATCCCGCTTTTCAAAGCCAAAATCTGCCATCCGCTGATATTCCAACAGTGTTGCTGCATTATTTTTCTAAAATTAATAAAAACAACAATAATTACTAACCGATGGATTCACTCAAATATTTAGCTCAGCATGTGATCCTACCCAATGCTTGTTTTTATATAGTAATTAAATAAAATGATTAAAGCTTCCCACCTCCTGCTGGGCCTCTCTATTGCTCGGCTCCAGTTCCAAAACCTTCTGAAAGCAGCGATTGGCTGCCATGGCATTTCCCAAAGACAGGTGGCACTTGCCCTCACGTAGATGCCCCTATGAGATGGAACGGACATTTCTCAGAACATCATTACCGTGCACTGCATGATGTGCGAAGCGGACAATACAAGTAATGTTCTATATGTGACAAGCAGTTCAAACTCACCTTCATGAAACAGTCATCCAGACGCACAGCCTGCTGGGAATCTTCTAGAGCCTCCCGAAAGCGGCAGAGCATCATGAGGGTGGCTGCCCTGTTCCCATAATAACTGGCATTTTTGGGGCATGCATCTTCAGATTTAAAAAAAAGAAAAGAAAAAAATGAATCATTTATGTGACAAAAACAAAATGATGCAGGTGCATATCAGAGACCAACATCTGGGCTTGCCATCACTGACAACTGGAGTGTTTCAGCATCATCAGAAAATAAAAATAAGAAGGTAAACTCTGACTTCCCCATTTTTTGTTTTTCTTTTGTCCCAACTTATATGATTACAGGATCAGCCACTGCCAAACTAAAATCACGTGCCAACAATCAGTGCATGACTGTACCGCAGGCCTTTATTGGGACTGTTCACTGGCAGCATTTCTCAACAGCAAAGTATGAAGAAATGTCGAGTGGGCGTCGTTGGGCGTTTAGAGTCAACAATGTGACAACTTAAAATCAAGCCACCGAGTATACTCACCAATGGCCTTGGTGTAATAGTTGAAAGCCTGAGAGTAATCCTTCTTGCTGTAGTATGCATTGCCTTGCTCTTTGAAACTTTCAGCCAGACTGGAGAGTGGAGAAAAAGACATAATTAAAACTACTCAATAAACCAGAAAACTAATAAACCACTTAATTTCCCCCCTGAAGGTGGAGATATACAGGAAGCGTTTAAACAAACTACTGTCCCCCCGAACCCCCCTATAAACCTTTTTTATTGTAGTTTCCACTGATGGCTGAAATTCTTGACTGTAACTGAATGAATGACCTTGACTATAAAACAGTGATACTTCTTCTAGTACCAGTTCTCACTTTTCAGGGAATTTCCAGCCTGCAAAGTGTCCACAAGGACTCGACTGTGCTTCACCTAGAACTAGGACAGCAGATCTGGGTACATACAGTCCTGACTACTGATAGCTCAAGTACTAAACATAGCCATGAAATTCACCTGCTGCAGTCTTTTCATAAGTGCCAAGTGTTAAAGGAGAACTCAATACTGATTCTCATGTATGACTTAATGTAGCAGTTTTTATGTAGCCCAAAATGCACCCAGGTACAATAAAAGTACTTTTCCGATACAGTAAATGTGGGTGCTGTTGCGACATTTGTTAGCCACACCTAAGAATGCAGACACAAAAAACCCAACAAGCAACAAACTCAAGCAAACAATATTAAACCACTTTAACTGAGATGAAACAAGTCCAGGTGACTCACAAGTGGATCAACCGCAAATCACACATACCTGACTGAACTAGGTTTCATGAGGAATCAGAAACTAATAATTACTTTCAAACGGCCTGCTATAGTTACTATATTATTTTTAAGTTAGGGGTTAGGGTTTAGTCTTTTTTTTAAGTGATAGTGTCTGCAGTTTGTTGTTTCACTTAAAGTGAACAAACACAAATGAGAATTCTTATTTGGTGTAAATTCAAAATAAAATCAATTATCTGTATTCTAGTCTTCATTTAGAAAAAGGATATCGTTATATTTTTTTTTTTAAATAATGCAAAGTCATTAAATGTCTTCATGAAATATAAAAAATTCTTTAGAAGTATGTGATGTGTTAAAGCCAGGATCCCACCAAACCAGAGTTATGTTTAAGTTCTACCTGTGGCGTTTCTATCTTCCTGTGAAAACCTGCATGCCTTAACTGTGAACAACAGTCCAACATAGCGATGGATACTAATAAGACCATATAGATGTTTATAGAACCTACTTTTTAAATGGATTTCCTGATTTATTCCTGGACAATGGTCTGTATATAGGGAAAACATAAAAGTTGTATTATCTCTGAGTCTACACAATGTAGAAAAAGCTTGAATTCTCTCTGAGTTTGACGTCACAGTTTTGCAATTGTGAGGGGAAAAAAAAGCTTGGAGGCATACAACAACAATGGAATAATTTGATCCATTTCAATTGAGCTATGGATTTTTGCAGTTTAACAGTGAAAATGGAATCAACTCAAAATTTTAAATTACGTGAATAAACCTGGTGTCTAACTTCAAATCGCTCAACCTAAACTGTCCCTGTGTACTCATTCCTGTACATTCTGATCATTCTCAGTGAAAATCTTGCCATCTTTAAGTTTGCCTCCTTTCTTTTTGTTTGTGCCACCGCCTCCAAACCACACATCATCACTGTCTCACGACCATTTTGTTGTCACTGCTCCACCCTTCCAGCACTCTTTTTCACTGCTCCAAATATTTTGGTTACTTTGATCCCCGATTTTGAAATTCCAAATAATTAATTTTAGATTTCTGAAAAAGACACGATGAGCAACAGTTAGTTATTTTTTTGTTTAACTTTTTTAGCCACAAGAGTTATAAATGATTTTCCAAGGATTACTTGCCCAATCGGTTTGCTTCCTATCAAACTTTAATATTAGGATAATTCTACTAAAGCAAAATTAGGCTTTGGGGAGTGACTTTGCTCATTAATATGCCCGCAAATCATTAAGGGAATCAGGTGGCTTTACTGTGTTCGATATAAAGTCCACGGAGCTTCCTGTTGCGACCATTTGATAACAATAATGCGTTACATGTTTTAGTTAAAGAAACCCAACTTAAAAACAGGTGGTCAAAAATATTTCTATTACAATCCTAAAAATAATTTCCTCCCGCACACTGAAGTCACATTTTACATTTACGGTACGATTAATCAAGGTCTCACTCAATCCTACATTTTAATCTTTCAAGTCCATCGTTACGTAAGCCAGACAAGGTATAACACCTAACAGTACTTTTATTATCCCACGCAGGTGCGTTACGGTGTATTTAAGCGGAAATGCAACAAAGGCCGCATGCACGAAAGGAGACCAATAAAAAAAAAATGTTTGCGTGCAAAGCGCACGTTGATGACTCGTTTCCGATGCGATTCACCCGGGTGAGCTGAGGGTGCGAGGCGCTCATGCTCGATTCCCTTTAGGTGCAGAACCTTCGGCATAGTCTCGTTACTGTTTGAATACAGTAAAATGGCATGAAACCTCTCGGGAAAGTATTGAAAACAAGTAATCACTTCAAATTAAGGTTATGAAGGCTTTTGCTGATCATACCTGACAGTCTCTTATGGAAGTTTCTCGAATATGAAAGCTGGAACTGCTAGTGTGCAATAAATAAGATGCTTTAAGGATGAGACTTAAACACATACGACATACAGCTCAATGACGCCCAAAGGGGTTAGGCGCACGTGAATTATCGGATACCTCATATTGACCATGGCAAAGCACGCCAGTTCACCTGGTTTTGTTTTGTTCTCTTAACGAACAATCTGGCGAGCTGCCCGGCTGTCTAATTTGAGTTCACAATTTTATTTTTAATGTAAATATCCCAAACAATAACAAAGCAACTGCCCGAGATTTCTAAAAAGCAAGATTTAAGAACGCTGTCGAGTTAAGCTAGCACGGTTAGCTTGGCTCCGGGGTGACCGCACTGATGTTTCCGAGCTCTGTCAGCTAACTGGCTAATATCACTCGGGTTATTTTCACTCCACACACGCATCACAGTGAAACCCCGACGAGTAGGTATACTTTTACCGTTCAAGGTCCTCCTGGTTGCAGATTTGTGGCTCTGTTTCTACCGGCACGTCGATGTCAACAGCTGCCATTTTTTCTGGAAAATACTGCTGTGAATTGACGTAATTTCCGGAAATGGCTATTTGTGTCAATTAAAAAAAAATAGGTCATCATAAAAAGAAAAGAAAACAGTAAAATGTACAACACGAAGTTTTATTAGTTCTGATAGCGGGATATGTGTCTGTAGCAGTAGTCGTAGTAATGATGTCCATTTATTTCATGAACAAAATGTTATAGATTTATGAGAATTCGGTGCGATTGGTGGTTTGGACTTTTATTTTGAAGGATGTATATAGGCACGTCCTATTCTAGGTTTCATAACTTCATTATTTGCTTCCCTCCTGTTATCAGTGTTATTTCTCTTATTTGTATTTACAATATATACACATCCCTACACACTTTACAGGAGTGGGCTCGTTAATATTCCTAGGAAGTGCCGAAAAAACATTCATACATATCAATGTGTCTAAATGTAGGTTATTTTTTGGCAATACTAAAAGTAAAATCGTCTTTTTATGTTACCAAAAGTAAAAAAAAAAAAAAAGAAAAGAAAAAGAAATTAACCAGTAATATGATGCTGTTAGCTTTAAACCTTCAAATCATCTATATACCTTCACTTGTATTTTACTTATTAATTTATTTCTTTGTGTTCACCCGGGAGCATGCAGACTTTTCCAGATAAAATAACCCACAACTGTACGTGTGGATATGGATTTTCCTATCTTATAAATCTGCTTATGAAAGCGCTCAATATGCAAACAATAGCATTTATTCCAGACTATAAGGTCTAGGTAACAAGAATGACTGTAAATACTTTATTGCACCAGTAATTAGATGTCGTTTCTAAATATTATATGCCATCATTATAAAAATCCCGATAGCCACAGTTCTTTATAATCTTTTTTAAACCAATCTCTATGCCAAAAAAAGGTACCAACATCTGTGTACTCTTAGGTTACACTATTTTATACTTTTTGCCTACCACTGGAGGGCACTAAGCTATTAAAATACAGGCACAAGGAACAGATCAGCTGCGACTTAATCTGGTAAAAATATTTCAAATCCTCAGTGGTCAATAATTCACCACATGTGTAATTTCTTCTACAACCCGTAGACTCATGTCATATGACGCATTCATTTTATTTAATTATAAATACAATAATTCTGAACCCCGTTTTGTATCAATCGACTGTGTTATTTTATGACATGTATCCACTATGAAATTATAAAAAGAAGAAAAAGACACTTGTTTGCCTGTAAAGAAAACACAAGAACAACGGTTTAAAAACCAGGGCTATTTATAAGTTCATATAGAATACAGTATCAACATTTTTTTTTACCACATAATAATTTACATTATTGCAATTGATGCACAGTTACACTAGTCATTAATTGTACTGGGTGACACTTAAAAATACATATTGCTTAGGGTGATTCAGCACAGCCATGTAGGATAGAGATTTCTATAATGAGAGGACACTGTTTTTCTTTTTTTTAAATACACTCTATAAATAATAAGTATAATATAATGTTAAAGACACTTTAAAAACTTGTGGATAAAGCCTTTTGATATGATGAATAACACACATCCATCCATTTGTTCATATTGCACATTAACAGCATCAAGCTGTTACAGTTTGTTAATTCACTGGAAATACTTGAAGTCCCCTTCTTTAGCTTTTCTAAGGCAGCATAAAAAACATTAGATAAGTTGCTAGATATAAGGAGTGTGTTGTTCAATGGATTGTATTTATCAAGATTTCTAATTTTGATTTTTGATTATTACAAATACACTGCGCTATTGTTAAAACAAAACACTCTTATATCTAAATACAACTACATTATAGTGTGTTTTAAACCATTTATGTTTAAATAGTGCTTATACCTGCTACCGTAATTCTGGGGACTTTAAGTGTTAATGCCTATGAAGCCATCTAAAATTCTCCTAAAAAACATGCATCATAGTGGCTCCTGTCATCAGAGTTTTTGATTACCGAGTTCCAATTTAGGGAGCCAATCTATGATTGAGGGTCGCACAGTAAAGACTGACGTATCAAACACTTGTAACACTTATGTGTATATTCAAAGGATGGTGGTTAACTGGTTTAGAACTTTTAAACTATTGGTATTTGTCAGTGTTATGAAGATTTATTCTTCTAGTATGGCCAGAACAGAGTTTAAATTAAAGAAACATTCCCTTGATCCTTTGCTCTGATGTATAATGGTAAGACATGGATGGTAGTAGTGCACACTTTCCATGTAAAATGCTTTCAACCACAACACTCTTACAACCTTCAGTATCAAATAAATTATAAAAAAAGGCATTTTGTATTTGTTGATGGCTGTAAAATTGTAACATTTGTCAGGATTCGTTGTCGTCATTGTCGTCGTCTCAGCCTGACAGGTTACAGATCTGCACTTTTTTTGTCATATGTTGGCATATGGAAATCAACAGTTTTCCTGGGAGTTTCAGATTTAGTTATGAAAACTTAAGCAAAGATAAAGTGTTTTTCTTCTTCTCCCAGAGTACAACTTCCCAAAATTAAAGAATTTTTTTGGCAACAAACACTGTGTAACACTTAAACACCCTAGTGTATTAGTTTCTTATCATTTTATAAATAAAACTAGAGGATGCTTATTCTTATGGCTTCCAGAGGGGTCCAGACCCCGGGGAACATGCACTCAACAGTTTGCTGACAGGAGACAGCTGAGCAATGGTCCTTCCATTTTTAAGTATGAGACGCTGGTCAGTCAGCGCCAAAATCTCAATCCACACCAGGGGATTGTGCCTTTTGCTCTTATGACTTGGCAAACTTGACATAATATGTTGTCCCCACTCTCTCTGTGTAGTGTCCTTGTCACTCAGAGGGGGCTGTGATTTGTCCTCAGAAGACCAGTTTAATCTTTTCTCCCAGTTTTGGCTAGGTTAGGTCAGCTCTGCTGTTGGTCCTTCAGCATCATGCTCCCTGTTAGTAAGGAGAGAAGATAATAGGAGCATGTGTGGCCCTCAGCGGTCCTGGGGCAGGCCTGAAGAGCGTGGGGCTGATCAGGGGACCCTGGATTATGGCTGTAGGGCCCGGTGGCAGCCGTAGTGCCAACGGTCCAGACGCCATGGTGCACAGGGCAGCTGGATTAAGGGGGCTGGTCAGGAAGCCCGGTGGCAGGGCCTTGGATAGCTGCTTCTGTAGGGCCAGTTTAGTCTGAAATCAAAGACAAGAAAAAGTGTTCAGCCTGAACAAGCATCTGTAAAGCTGTACTTACACACAGTGATGCTCAGAGTTAAATGCACATGTCAGCATTGTTGCAAAAAATGCTGACAGGTGCAAGGGACAGCACTTAATTTGCATCTGACAAGTTTGTGTATGTTTTGTTTGTGCTGTAAGTGATCTTGAATGGCCATCTGTGATTTAGACAAAAATAAAAGTGGACAAATGTGTGTGTGTGTCTGTGTGAGAGACAAATTCTCACCGCTAAGACAGCACTGGGCTGTAGTTTATTATAGGGGGTGAACTTCGCCTTGACAGGCTTCCCAGCCAAACGCTCTTTGTGTCTCCTGCTGTTCATGTGCTAAAAAAAGGATAGAAAGGAAAGAATAAAGTCATTTTGTCAAGACAGCTCACACAAACTCCCAAAGAGTTACCTTGTAGAGTATAAAGAGTAGTCATCCTGCATTTTTAGCATTTGTACATTGACAGGTGGTTTATGCAGCAGTAAAATTAGCAAAGTAAAATAGTAGGATAAGTATTCGTACCTGTTTCAGCTGTGACTCTGAGTTGACAGACACTTGGCACAGTTCACAGTGAAAAGTGTGATTGTTTACACCAACTGGTCTTGCTGGTCTGGCTTTGCTGCCCATTCGCTGCTTAATTCGACAGGCTGGTCTGGATGATGATGTCATCTTGACCCTACGTTGTGGCTGGCTGGTATTCTGACCGTCCAGCATCTGCTTGTGCTTAGAGCCTGATTCAATCAGTACCAATCAGACCGGAAGAACAGAATGTTAAATAATATTATTAATAAAGAATAAAAAGATTGAAAGGGCAAAAAACAAAGAGATGAACTACCTACCGCTACAATGAGCCTCCAGCTGGGAGCTAGAATTGACCGTCACTTTGCATGTAGGGCAGTGGAGATGTTTTTTGTTGCTCTTGGACTCTTTAACCTCTTCCACCTTCACTGTTTCCTCCTCGCCTCCTGTGGAGCTTCCCTGAGGCTCAGACTGTGGTGCTGAACTGGTGGCCGAGCTGCACCCTTCCACATGTGGAACGTTTGAGGGAAGGTCAGAAGACTGAGAGCCCGGGGAAACATGGGGGGATAGGTGAGGAGAGGCTAGCAACGAACAGTCCGTGGATGAAGTTTGTGAAGAAGGAGTGGCAGCCAGCGAGCTCCCTTTGCTGATTTCCATTTGCTGCTGTGCAGAAGTGGATGACGTGACTGGGCCTGTTAGCACATCAAGTCGTGTCAAGGCTTATTTTTATAGCACATTTTAAACAACTTTAGTTCACCAAAGTGCTGCACAGGTTATACAAAATGAACATAAACATAAGAAGAAAGCCTTTCATCATGGGTATACTGACCAAACTAGCATTTTTAAGGAAATACTAGAATCTAATTTTCTTTCCAGTGGAGAGTCATTAATTACGAGGCTACAGCTGCCTAATGTGGCAAAAACAATCCGTTGAGAGCAGTCAAGGTACCACGACAAGGTGACTGAAGGGGAAGTTAAGAACGGCAAAGGGGTGAATATTATTATGTAGATTCACCCCTTCATTATGCATTAATGATGCAAATGGAAGTACAGTAGCATTTTGACTAAATACAATTCCCTGACTTATGTCACATTATTTAAATTAATATTTGGGCCAAACTGCCAGGCGACAACCACTGATCTTGTTATGAGAATACAAATGTGAGTTCTGCAATTATCCAGCAAACTGCTGTAGGACTACAGTGGATTTTGTACACCCCAAAATTCAGTATACAAACATGAAAAACCAGAAATACTGGCGCTGATTCTTATATTCAAGTTCCTATCAGTGAAAGCATCACATAATTGTTCCCAAAGGCCTCAAGGTTGCATGCAAATGAAAATAATACTGGTTTAGACCGCAAGCATAATGTATTTTATAGAGGAAAATGTAAGTTCTTCTCTGCAGCACATCTTTTGTTGTTTGGCACTAATACTTTCCTATAGAGTCCATAAAGCTGTAAACTGAGATGCTGAAAGGATAAATGAGGGGTCAATCCCCTTTTTGATGCCCGAAGTCAAAATGTTTCAAAGAGCTGCACTGCTATCATGCAGGGGCAGGTGATTACTCTCTCGTCTCTGTTGGTTTCTCATTATGACCATCAATTTTACATAGAAGTAGCAAAATAATTATAAGATAACACATACTGTAATGTTAAATTAAACTTGATCCAATGTTAATTGAATGTTAATCTGATTTTAAACAGACAGTTAACCGGAAGTCCAGACTTTTTCTGGGTGTATGAAAAATAGAGTATATTACCACTAATTACAAAGAATGCAAATGCTAAGATATATTTTTATTGTAATATAAGGGACTAAATGCAGCAGATTAAGCTACAGACTGAGACCAGTCTGTAAAGGTATCACTAAAATCCCATTTTCATGAGGGTTTCATGCTTAGACTCACTGTTTTTAAATTTCAAATACATTTTAGATGTTTTTGTAAATTTATTTATGCATTTATGGCCACACCTCGTGTAATTTTTAAACTTACAGAATTATTTGATTTACATGAAACATGATTTCTTCACAGTCAAAGTATGAATAATGCATTTTCTTGACTTAAGTTATTTCTTTAGAAAAGAACCAGGCCCTGACCTCCCTGTGCAACTTTTCCTTTGTTCTCATCCTTTCATATAATCCTGCTATTATACTTATATTACACTCATCTCTCTTTAATTTTCATATCTTTTCTGCTTTTTCCCCCTGCCATCTCAATCATTCTTCCTTTGTCCCTGCGTCTCGCTGTCATTCGTTCGCTCTCTCTGCCGAAGCTCCCTCTGTCACCATCAATCAACAACCATGGCAACCACCGAATGTAACAAGCTTATCATTATGTGGTTAGAGGGAAATTGATAGGCGCTGGAAGAAAATGGAAGAGAGAGGATCAGTAATGAAAAGGAAAACCGACAGAGGAGAGAAAAAAAGATGGTGAGTTTTTAGTCAGGAAGAATGAGAAGTTGAGTGACTAATGACTAGAAAGAAGTAAAAAAGCAAATAGCAAAGTCATTAGTCTTTGCTGTTAATGCAACTATACAGCCAATAGCTATAAAGTTAACAGTATGGAAAGGACATGGGTCAGTAATGGTAAGCACTAATGTCCCCATATTTTTTCTGGGGATTTGTGGTCTGTGGATTTCATTGAAGAAATAAGTGAAAAATTAACAGGGGAAAAAAAAGATCAATTGGTAATGATTTCTGCTGGCCTTCTCATTGAAGAACCCCAAGCTCTACTGAAGCACAAATAAGTTAATTAATCAGATCAGAACCCATTTTCAGTGCAAAAATATGAAAAAAACAAAACAAAAAAACAACAAAAAAAAACCTATTTTCTAAAAGACACATTTCAATCCTACCATCTATGCAGTAAATCTTAAAAAAAAAAAAAAGCAGCTGGAAAGAAATGAAACCCTGCTATGCTATTCTTTGCTACATCCATTAGCCACCACTGCTGGCTACATCCAGACCATTGTTTGATTTTGAAAAGAATACTCGTGGGCAAATATTACCCGTACTTCTGACCGATTTTCCATAATTTTCTACACATGTCCAAAGTGACAGCACCTCATTAAATAACAGGAATAAGGAACTTGGATGTGGGACTCGTATCACTGTTGAATAAAAATCTGACAGTAACACTACCACATCTCTCTGTAGATGGAATCTCTGCTGAGGTGCTTTAAGGCTCCTCATCTTGCCGAATGTCTTAGCTTGATGGGAATAATTACCTGTCTGACGGATCCAATGATAGTAGGACAGGTAATAGCTGGTAATTAACCAGCTGAGTGGCAGCTACCAAGCCTTAGTGCTTACGTCTCCCCAATTACATCTAATTACTCAGAGCGTGGCAAGAGGACTGGCTTTAGAAAAGAAAAATGTATACCTGTTTTGTCTTTCGATTGCGAGTCTGTTGGCCCAGTTACTCCTCCCATCACGCCCTTGTCCCTATCTCTGTCTTTGCTTGATATTGATTGACTCTGTCCGTTCTTCTGCCGATTCCTCTGGGTCTCCAAGGCCTTTAGCTTGCGAGCATGCTTGTGACCTTTGTAGTGGGCCTCTGCCTGGGTCTAGCAATCACACATACACACAGAGGAATGTGCACACAAGGGCAAAACAAGCAAAGGGGAAAGTCAGCGTAGAGTATATGCACAGAATGACTGATTAAATTAGTGAAGGACAGCACGAAATCAGTAAACTGTAATAGTTCCATCTGTTCCACTGCTTCGACTTCACATGCTCTTATAAATTTAGGGGAAAAAATATGCGTTTAAGCATTTGACTCTGAGGGAGAATCACATCACCATTTTGATAATCATCATTGTCATGATGATGCACAAATGAGCATCAGTTGGACTAATGGCATCTCATGAGCATCCTCTGAGCTCACTGGCTCATCTTTCCACTGATTCGTTCTGACACAAAATGGCCCGTGTCCGTTACACTGTGACACAAAATGACCTCTGTGCCTCCCTCTGTAAGAGAAAACACATTTGTGGCAACGAGACAGCAGACACATGCAGATATGTGTGATCCCCATATGACTCTGGATATCTGTAGACAAAGCTCTACGGAAGAAGATCCGCTTCCAGCTTCATGTCAGAGTATACCAACAGTGAAAACAGCCGAAGCAGGATAAAAAAACTTGTACGTCCAAACAACATTAAATTTTAGTATTTAATATACAAGAATTATCTTTAAGAAACAAAATAAAGGAAAAAAAAAACAATTTTGCTAATTATTTCATTAATACATACAATAAATCTTATATAGGTGTCCTGCTGAATATTTACATGACATCTTTTATAACCAAGGCATCTCCATGACGACTGATTTGCAAACTTTATTTTTTGAATAGAGACAAAAGAAACTTCGTTCGATTTTATTTATTTATGAATATAACTGTGAGTCATTTACATAGATTGTGAAATATATATATGATGGTAAATGACCAAAGATTAGTTGGCAAAATATTGCTTCAGCAACTTAACCAAACAATCCAAAACATCATGAATACAGAACAAGCAGTACTCAAAGGATAAGTTGGTGACAGCCGATACTTTTCTTGACATGTCAAATTAAAAACGTGTAATTTAATTTAGCCCTTTGATAGACTAGGGACCTGTCCAGGGTGTACCTGCCTTTGGTCACATGACAGGTGGGACAGGCTCACCCCTTCATCCCCTCAGCCAACAACCTTGAATTGAATAAGTGGAAGAAAATGAACGGAATAATTATGTGATTTAATTATTACCTCTTCCCCCGATAAAGATGACATTTGACGACCTCCCCTTTTCCCATGTGTTGACACTTGAGTATATATCAATAAAGACATGGTTTGACCACAGTTAGAATAGTTTCTTGGGTTTTTCCAAGGGTAGCTGCATAGGCAGGGACCACCCTCACTAACTTCTGATGCAAATGGAGTCATTTTGTTCCTTAAGCAGGCCTGAAATATGACAGAAACCTCTCAGTTCAGAGAAGAGCTTCAAGGGTTACTTCTAGTAGGCTTTCAACAGGTTAAATGTCTGCATTTGCCATTTTCCTCATGCAGCATAATAGTTACATGATTCATACTTAATTCTTATAATTATACTGCATAAGAATAAACTAAAAGTTGGCATTTAGATGAGTAAATGATAGTATGAGACATAAAATCCTTTTTTCTCTCTTTATGTATGCATACCATGTGTTTTAAATACAATATACCTAATACAACAAATAAAAATAGACTCTATAAAATAAAAGCTGTTTAAGTAACCTTTTCTAAAAAGGACAGAATGAAACTGCATGGGTCAGTGCTGAGATATTGGAGTTAAATAACCTTTAATGGTTTTGTTCTTTTCATGGCATTGACTTATATAACAATAAGAAAAATATGATGACATAACCACACTTATCCTTTAAGAGCACATATTTTTCTGCAACCCCAGTGCCTTTCTGTATATGAAAGACACGAGTGCACTTCCTAAAGAACGGAGAATCAGTGAGACAAGACTTCAAGTATCTGGCTTCACACAAGGCTGTTAGATAATTTGTAATTGCTCAAATTATCCATACCAGTTTCAAGGTACACACTGTACATCCCTTGCTAATGCACATTCAAATTCATAGTGCGCAGACATGATCTTTAGGTGAGCACAGATTGTGCATAGAGTGGTGGGGTAGAGGTCTCCCTGTCAACACTTTGCATAAAGCTTGGACTCCTACACAAACAGAAAGGGTGGCACCATGGGTCAAAGTGTGTGGTTGGGAATGGAAGGCTGAGCAAAGGGTATACAAGCCCTTTGGCTACGTTGAATGTCAGTGCACACCAACCATTCAGCGTGATTTTCCACTGAGTCAGGCGGACGACTCTGCTGTCATCTGCATACTGCCATACTATCTGGCATGCCAGTGTAGTATGAGTTCACCATGTTCCACCATAGCATCGTTGAAAGAAAAACGCATGGAATAAGAATCCCAAGACTGCAAGACCAAGATCTTCAGTTAGAGACACCTGAAGGAGACCGATGACCTTCATTCAAGCTGCTTTATGCATTTGTCACATCAGTGATGCTCTTCACACACAACAAGCAACTGTCTACGGAGCAGAAAAATTAGGTCATATCTGATCTGCTGATCTGTCAGACCTTCATGCTTTTTAGTGAGTTCAGCAGCTTTAAAGGAATAATCTGGAATTTTTACACCAATCCCAAAAAGGTTTTACTTTCACAGTCATCCTTATTTGACTTCATACTGGACAAACTGCTTGAGCTTCCCATTAGGGATACATTCACATTCTCATTAGTGCTAAAAAGCCGCTCTACTAGCAAGACCTTACCATGAAATGTGTGCAAAAGAAGGACATAGGAACCATAAGACACTGAATTCTCTCCACCAACTCCTGAGAAAGCTCTCTAGCATTTGAATACACCGCCATGTCCACAAGCTAGTTGCAGATCTTGACCTTTAAGCCTCTTTGTTAACTAAAAAAGGTTATTGTATGAAAAAAACAATATGAAACTGTTAAGAGCAATCCAAAATGCTAGAAAACCAAAACAATGGGCTAAAAGATGCTAAGACGTGCACAGGTAATGAAAAGCTACAAAGCTTAGCAGATGTTATCAATTTACTGCAACATCTAATCAGTAAAACAATAGAAATTCAACTGCAAGTAAAAATAATATTTTAACCAGCATAACTGGGTGTGGCTAAATCCCATTTTCCGATGGCAAGTTGAAGCTGTGTGTCCAGCATGAAAAGTAGGATGTAAAACTGCGAAAAATTATTCAGCTGTAACTTTTTTAAGCACTACACAAACAATGAGCATAAAAAGTGCTACACAGCTATTCTGGACTTTCTCTTTAATTGTGAAGTGCAAATTCCTGCTGGACTGTTCTGCCCCCTGTTGGGATCCGGTACCTGCCTGCAACCTGGCATCCAACTCCTGGGTCAACCAGCACTCTCAGCACAGCTGCAGGTACCACAAAGGGAGGAGAGAGCCTGTTAGCTAGAAAACAGACTCCATCACTGTGCACCCAAAAGTAAAGAGCAGAGACAGAAAAAGGAGATTAGGAAGCAAGAGTAGTAGGATAATCAGCCTGGACCAGTGTCCTGCTTCTTTAAAGTTTCACAAAAAAGCAGAGTCATTGTCATTCTCCCTGTTACTGCTTAACAATATAAATGCAAATATGTATAAATGAACTCCATAGGCATTGGAGTCAAATGAATATGAATAAAATGTGATAAGGAATAAAAGGCAATAGAACTAGCGGACTGGTTTCCTTTAAAGTGGCCTGTGATTTGAAAATAGAGAGGATAGAAATGTAACAAGCAGAGTGATAAGACAGATAGCCAGCAATAAGATCATTTTTGGGATGCAAAAAATATTACATTATTTGAAAATATGTAGATGTTGTGTTGACTGGAAAAAAATGGTAAAAAGAAGAACTTCAGAGGAGTGTTTGGAAAAGCTATGGGCATAAATGTATTTTCGTGCTGCAAAAAATTATATGATTTACTATCTTTAATGGCTAAAAAAACCTCCAGCTATGTGGTCAGAGGAGATTTTCTATCTTCTTGTGGTGCACGAGAGATGATTTCAGGTTATTTTAAGGTTGCATTCTAGATGCTAACAAACTTTCCTTTGTGACATCGAGGAAAAGTAGAGTTACAGCACTTACAGTAGAGTTGAAGCGCAGGTGGCAGATGTTACAGGAGATAATGGGTTTTTTCTTGGGTGGAGTCATGCCAAAAGTGTGGTTGATCACTGCCTTCTGCACTGGGTCCATCTATAAGGTGAAACATAAACATATACACCAAATTATTGAATTTTATAATCCAGGATATGAGATTTTGTTTTGTATGTGCAATAATTAAATATAAATAAATATGTTTTTGCATATTTCCTTTAAAAGGTGGCATTCCTAATGATCTTATTTGCAAAATGGAGCATATTTATTTGTTGTTAAAATGTGTTCCTTTAACAAGGATTTAAATCTGCACAGATGTACAAAATAACTACCCACATTTCTACCTCCGTATTTCAGATTAACTATGAATCAGTGCTGATTTTGCTGATTACTTTGATTAAATAAGGTTGTAGATTTTTGCTTAGCGTCCTCCTGTGATTGAAAAAAATACTGTGCCGCGTGTGATAAACGTAGATTTCTGACAGAAAGAGCTGTAAGTCTGTTTTTAACATTCTGTGTAAATTATGTAAAGGCAGCAAACTGTGTATATTTTTCTAAATACGAGCTGAATATAAGCATGTTTTTAATCCCCACAGTAAAGCTGTGATATCCCAGCCATATTTTTAGCTTTAGTTGTCAGAGATGAATATTTATCCAGCCTCCCACCTGCCTGATACATTTAGCACTTTCCTCAGACTTTACTCATTACAGGTTTAAGCTGTGACTATAGAAGCCGCCCCCAAAAAACACGTGTTTTATGTGCCAGACAGAGGTTTTATATTTGGAATTTCTCATGTATGTTTATGATTGCAAGTTAAAAATAAAGTATAACGTGGCTGTGAAGCTCAAGTAAAATTCAGTTAGAATTCTGAGTTATGTTTGATGATTTGACCTGATGATGACATGAGCTTTCACATAACTGTTTAAACTGTTAAAAAATGTAAAGTATTTCATGTAGAAAATGATAACATGGTAAATAAAAAATCATCCGAATGTATTTGTTCATCTTAATTTTGGTGCTTTTTTCCTGTATGCTGACATCACAAGTGGCTGTCCTGAGTTTCTAAATTTTTGCAGACTTTTACTTAAAGTATAAAAGTTATATTCAGACCTTGTAGAAAAAATACACTTTTTCACTTTCTTGTGAATAATTACATAAAAGTTCATCCCTTTTATTTGTCTACAGCAAAGATATTAAATCCACCTAAAGTTAGATCCAAAAAAGAAAAAACATTTTCTGTAGTGCTTCTGTACACATGATTTCAGTGTGGCTGAAGTGCAGACTCTCACCGTTATTTCAAAGGGTTTTTACAAAAATTTAGCATTATTTTTATAAATAGTCCAACATTTTCAGAACCTTAAAAATAATCTTACAATTGCCCAGCAAGCAGCTTCATACTCATGTGAGGCCTGTCCCGTTGTTATTTAGTAACAAATAAAACAAACACAATATCTGAAGTTGATTCAAAGTACTGAATTTGTATTTTATAGCTTTAAATAGTCATTTTTAATATAAGGCTCAAATTGATATCAGTGTAAATAAGGGAGGCCATCATCATCATTAGGCTGAAGAACCAAAATCAGAAAGACCACAGAAGACAGCAAAAATGCAAGAATGGAAATACAGAGGGTTTTCAGCAAGGTGCAGAGCACTGGTCGGATTAGACTTATTCCAAAATTCTCTAAAAGAGCCCGCACAGTTGTGAAAATGATTATTTCAGTTATATAAAATCAAAATTAACTTGCACCTTGTAGAAACTTGCAGTGATGAGAAAAGAAAAGCCTTTGATGATGTCCAGGGGTTCTAGACTTCATGCAGTCATTAACTGCGGGGATTATCATTTAAATATTCAAAATAATCTTTATATTTAAATATTAGTTTGTGAGTCGATTCCTGAAAATGATTTCAGTTTTTTTTTGTTAACCTTGTTGAGCTAAAGCTTAAAGCTTGCACTTCAATCACATAGTGATTTCAAATCCACTGTGGTGGTGTACAGGCAACTTTTGGCAAGAAGGCAAATAAGCATATGTCCAGCACTGTCTACAACATCATAAAATATAATGTGCAAACTGTGACTAATGACTGTTTCTATAACAAATGCATGGTAAATGATAAACCTAAAGATGTAAATGGTCAAGGAGCCAAAGTTGCAGTATGTGATACATGTACGAGAGAAAAGCAGAATGGGTTCTTACCGTGTTAAAATTGGGGAAGAGGCTAAGCGGCGAGGAGCCGTTGACCCTGAGCGGCAAGAAGTGCTCCAGCTGGGCATGAGTGTGCTGCTGAAGGGATCGACCTGGCATGGGCAGGGAGCCCAAGAGAGGGTGGACTTGGTTCTGGGATAGTGCTCCTAAAGCAGGGATGATTAAATCAGAATAAATTCTGAAAAGACACAAATTTCTATTTCAGCCTTTTTCATTTTAGGCCCCCAAAGCTGCACATCGTTCTACACAAACTAGGATAAAGAGTGATTTTAGCACATATCTGAGACTGAGATGCTTATCCACAGTGAATGATTCACTCGGTAAAGCTTTAATGACTTTAGTAATAGTGGGGGACAAATGATGAAATGCTTTGTGTGGCCTTTTTCTGCTTTACAAGTCTATAGTTTATCCTGACAAATGTCTTTGCCCTTTAGTATCTGTGATTGTCTCGGTTCTTTGTCTGAACAAGCAAACAGCTCAGTCAACATACAGAGAAAAAGAATCGTAATGAGGTTTGATGTACATGTTCACCATTTTTCTATCTTATGCATACATTACTTAACATCTCACTGGAATTTCACCAGCACTTTCTGCTTTAAAATCTCCTTCCACGTGACCTCTTGTCTCAACACACTTAACTGTAGTTGGCCTAAATGCTTTAAGACTGCACATTCTTTAAAGAGCAACATGGCAGTGACCTTTGTCTAACCCCAGAGTAACATTAGTGTGTTCGCATTAAAAGCCACAGTTTCTTACATAAGCATGGTGATTACAGATCGTTTGTCGTGGCTGTGTATGAAAAGTCCGGAGGTTGTTCGGCTAAAAAGGTTGTGTGTAAAATATTAGAATGTAATATAAAACTGGCTTCAGAGCTTTATTACAGAAATTTTACCCTGTGATGAAAATAAACCATCTCATTGACAAAGAGGTTTAAAAAAGGCAAAATTAAAAACACAATATTTTTATATATAGCGTAAGAAAGAAGGAGAGCTTTGCCTGTGTAGGACTGAAAATGATCAACCTGCACGACTGAGGATGGAGGATTAAGAGAAATGACTAATTATGGATTTAGAGAAGATAAAGTAAAATATAATGTACATTAGGCTTATCTCCAGCACATGATGATAACACATATTAAGCATTACTTTTTGAATGACAGAGAATCTGAAGAAAGGAATTAAATAAATGGCAATTATATAAAATGTAATGTAAGTGACTGTTGTGACATAACGCCAAAAGAAACTTCCTTAAAATTTCTTATTCATAAACACCTAAACATTTTCTCTAAATAGATGCAATCATAATGTTGGAGTTTAATGATGTTATATTTCAGTAAAAGCTTAGCAACCAGAAGGCAATTTTCCTCAATTTTCTGCTTCTTTTAAGTCTAAATTTCAGGATTCATCTCTGGGGATGAGGCGGTTTGAGAGTCCTTGAGCATTAGCATGCTTTTACTAATCTGGTCCTATTTTCTAAAGTATTTGAGAAGAGCAGAGAAACCAAAGGGGAGACTGGAAAGAGAAACAAACTGGAGAATGATATGTGAAAAGAAATGATATGACTAATACTGCAGAAGGAAAGCTTTTAGTAGGCATGTAAAGAGAGTTTAGGGAGTGATTTATTGTCCTGCACAGGTGCCCAAGTGTTTAATGAAGACGGCAGAAAATAAAGGAGCAGTGGACACCACAGCCTGTCTTATTTTATCATTGCCTGCCACTGCAAAAGCCTCGGGGCACCTTCTTCTTACTGTGAAAATGTTAAAGTAAAGAAACCTGCCAGAATTTGTTTGGACATAATTAGATACTTTATAGGAAAGTAATGAAGGCTATAAACACGTGAAAGAGTAAAGTTCAGGCTTGCACATACACTGCATGCTGCAGGGAGGTCTCATGAACCAATCCTTGAGGCCCAAGATGATACTATAATTCTAATGCACTGTACTTGTTCTGTGGTACTGTGGAAGCAGTAGTTTCTATGAAGACTGGACAGTAACAGAAGCATGATAAAATGGGCCAGCTAGTGCTGCACACAACAGGATCTGCAAATGTAAAAACATATTAAGACTTCATGGAAATCTTTTGTGCGCTGGATAATCGGTGCCTAGTTAGAGACCGCGCAATCTCGACTAAATCGTTCTCAGATCATGTCAATTTGGCAATCTCTGTTTTGCTCACCATACAGACTTTTTACCTTTTTCAGCCAAAGCCAGTTCAAACATGACTGTTCACTCAAACTCAGACTTCAAACAGATCACAGAAACCACAAAGTTTCCTGTCCCCAAAACAAACCAAACAAAACTATCAGAATATTTGTTTGCAAATTTCGATGGCTGGCGGGTGTCGCAACAATGCAACAATACTCCAATAATGACAATAATTCTTGCTTATGTTGGTGTGTCATGTAGTGCAGGTACCACCTATCAAATTAAAAAGTCAGCTGCTCACAGTGACAATGTGAACACTGTCTTTGTTCATGATCTTAGCAGAGCATGAAATGATGTGCATATTTGTACCCATTTGATAAACTGCGTTCACACAGAAGGCAATCCAGTCATCACATGCTGCTTGGCTGCTAGTGAAGAGTTGTATGGCTCATTAAATAACACTAATGTATTTACTGCCCCATCACATGTCAATCAATATTGTCCTTCATTCTCATTGGTAGTTGCTTCAATTGTTTGCCTTAAAGTTGAGAAAATCTCAACTTTTTTCCCCTCTTGAAGCATCAAACTGAAATTATTATCATAATAACAAATAAAATTAAAAATGGGGCAGCACTGTCGCCTTACAGCATAAATATCCTGGGTTTGAATCCACCATCTGGCCAGTTACTCTAACTTCCACCGTCCAAAGACACACAGTTAGATTAATTGATGATTAATCTGAAAATTGCCCACAGGTGTGAATGTGAATGGTTTCTCTGTGTTAGCCCTGTAACACAATGGCGACCTGTCAAGGGTGGACCCCGCCTGGATGAAGTTGAAATGAAAATGATAACCACATTGCTTAAAGATTAAATTCCCACATCTTATCAGCAGCTACTGAGGTACTCAGATGCTTATGCAATATCAAGCTGGACAGAAACACAACTAAACAAACTGAAACTGATAAACATAAAGAGAAGTGAACACAATAAACTCAGTAAAGATGCAGAGAATAGCAAGTCTTGGCTACCAAATGACTCCACGTGTTGAGACAAATATAGAGGTGCAGCACAAATTAGCACTGAATTAGCAATAAATAAAATAAATAAAAAATCAACAATAAGCCAACAAACGAACATACTATTTGACAACGACCACCAACCACACCCTCTGTTTATTTGATGCTTTGCAGCCACTCCACTGTGCCAGGTATTTGTTGGAATTAGAATTTGAAATAAGGAGTGATTAGAGCTGATTGTCACTATTTACTTGATCCTGCGTTTTTAATGTGCTAATCTCCCTGAATATCATGCATGCATAAAACACACACTTTTGTTTTCTAATTCCAAATTCATTTACATGCTCCACCAGGACTGTTTGTGTCACTGGTGTCAATAAAGTGATTTGAACTGAATTAACACCGTATTGAGAGTGAATGACAAAGTAGCAACAAATGAGAGAGCGAAAGAAGAACAGTAACAGGCAATCACAGGCAGAGGACAGACCCTTTCCCCCCCTCCAGTAGACTGATGTGCTTAATCTCCCTGTCAGTATGACTTTTGGGGACAACGATTCCCTCTCCTACACAAATCTGTAATTGATCTTATTAATCTCCTATGCATATATTCACAAAACACATCAGGGCGAGACGTTTAATTAACTGCGTTTGGTGCTGAACAAGCTAGAAACTGCCATCAGCTGTGAGAATCTGTACAACATCTGCCGACAAGAAGAACGTGCTTTTGACGGGACCTGTCTGTTTCAAAATTACCCATCTCATTTACGTCCAGAGAGCATCTCAAAAGATTCACTCTGGCAGACTGGACAAAACAAACGAATGCCATGGTCACATTGTTTCATCCGGTCATAATGGGAATGTGTTAACCAGCATGGCTCTGTAAGCGTTAAGAAATAAAACGCCGTAACTTTGAAATTACAACCCTAAACTCGTGAACTCAATTACTGTGTAATTAGGTTGGGCAGAGAAGAATTTAGTTTATGAAACATTTCTAATAAACACAGTTAAAGCATCATTACCAGTGACTATGTTTACATTGGCACTAATATGCTATTAATACTCATATATCCCATACTTGATACAGAATAAGTCTTTTGATATCTAAACAGCATTTTTTTAAAACCCTATCAGGTCTGTGTTTTACATAAACCAGGTAGCCAGACTCGAGATCGACCCCAAAGCCTGCATTTCTGGTCTGAAGAACATACAACTTATTAACAGATTTTAAGATGTGCAGTTATTGCACTGATGACCTTGTTCTGCTCACACAACGTAACAATCTGGAGCTTAACCTGAAAGAGACAAAGGAACTGGTTGTGAGGATGAGGTGGACCAGAACACCAGTGACACCTATTTCCATTCATGGGGTCTGTGTGGAGACAGTAGAGGATTACAAATACCTCAGTGTTCACATGGGCAATAAACTGGCCTTCATAAAAAACACAGAAGCCCTGTACAAGCAGGGGCATAGGGGTCTCTTTCTGAGGCTGCCGAGATACTTAATAATCTGCCAGCTCCTGAGGATCCGCAGGAGTCTCTGGTGGCCAGTATTTCTATGCTGTGGTGTGCTGGGCAGACACCAACAGACTTGACAAACTCAACAAAAGGCCAGTGACATACTGGGGGTGGAGCTTGCAGACAATATTGGAAAACCCTTCACAACGACTCCAAATAAATCTTGAGATGACTGATTTGGTCCTATATAAATAAAACTCAATTAAATTGAATTGTTTGACAGAATGGAAGAGGGTGGTACTGCCTGCCTGGACAAACACCACAGGAAAGCTTTCAAAAGATTTTACATAAACCAAAAAATTTTGCCCACGCCAACACATGATTAAATTATTTTATCACACCCATGAGTAAGGGGAATATACTCTTAACTTGATCATGGATATACTGAGTAAAAATTGAATTCATTCAAATGAAAGCTAATCAGCAGCATGTATGCAGACAAGCTTTATGAGCTTCCCCTGTGTATTTTC